TTAAAAAAAAATTTTTTTTTAATTGATTCATGGGTGCCTGGCTGGCTCAGTCAGAAATGTGTGCAACTCTTGGTTTTGGGGTCATGAGTTTGAGCCCCACATTGACCACAGAGATTACTAAAAAAATAAACTTAATAAAATTTCTTCAAATGCATAATACTTTTGTTCTCATAGTTTAAGAAATTGAAAGTTGGCCTTATGAGGAGTTTTAACTCAGCAAGGTATAAGCAGTGCTTTGTAGTGTGGTATGCTAATAAAGGAATGACTTTTTTATTGAAAGCAGTTAACATCTACATACACTTTGTTAGGCTTTTTTTTTTTTTAATTCTAATACAGTTAACATATAGTGTCATATTAGTTTCAGGTGTACAATATAGTGATTCAGCAGTTCTATACATTCCTCAGTGTCCATCACAATGAGTATACTCTAAATCTCTATCACATATTTCACCTATCCCTCTTTCCACCTTTTCTCTGGTAACCATCAGTTTGTTCTCTATACTTAAGAGGCTGTTTCTTGGTTTGTCTCTTTTTCCTTGTTCATTTGTTTTGTACCATACCTTGTTCATATGGTATTTTCTTTCTCTGACTGGCTGATTTCACTTGGCATTGTGTGATCCATCCATGTGGTTGCCAATGGCAGGTCTTCATTCTTTTTAATGGTTGAGTAATACTCCATTGTATATGTACCACATCTTCTTTATGCATTCATCTATCCATGGGCACTTGGGTTGTTTCCATAATTTGGCTATTGTAAATAATGCTCCAATAAATATAGGAGTGCTATATCTTTTAAATTCGTGTCTTTGTATTTGTTACTGGTACTGGAATTACAGGATCATATGGTAATTCTATTTTTAATTTTTTGAGGAACCTCTACGGTTTTCCACAGCGGCTGCACCAGTTTGCATTCCCACCGGTTTGCACAAGGATTCTTTTCTCTCCACAGCCTCACCAACACTTGTTGTGTCTTGTGTTTTTTATTTCAGCCATTCTGACAGGTGTGAGGTGATATCTCTTTGTGGTTTGGATTTGTATTTCCCTGATGATGAGTGATGTTGAGCATCTTTTCATGTGTCTGTTGGCCATCTGGATGCCTTCTTTGGAGAAATGGCTGTTCACATCCTCTGCCCATTTTTATTTTATTTTAAATATTTTTTTGTTTTATTTATAATAAATAATTTATTTTTTAAGAGAGTGAGAGCATGTGTGCATGCACACACACGGGGGGAGAGGCAGAGAGTGGAGGGGCAAGAGGATCCTAAGCAGGTTCAGAGCTGACAGCGGGAGCTCAAACTCATGAACCATGGGATCAGGACCTGAGCCAAAATCAAGAGTTGCTGCTTAACGAGCTCAGCCACCCAGGCACCACCCCTGCCCATTTTTAAATTGGATTATTGGTTTTTGTGTGTGTTGAGTTGTAATTTTGGGTACTAATCTTGTATTGGATATGTCATTTGCAAGTATCTTCTCCCATTCAATAGGTTGTCTTTTAGTTTTGTTGATTGTTTCTTCTGCTATGCAGAAGCTTTTTATTTTGACATAGATGCAATAGTTTATTTTTGCTTTTGTTTCCCTTGCCTTAGGAGTCATATCTAGAAAGATATTGTAAAGGCTGATGCCAAAGTGGTTGCTGCCTATGTTCTCGTCTAGGACTTTTATGGTTTCAGGTCTCATATTTAGGTCTTTAATGTGTTTTGAATTTATTTTTGTGTATGGTGTAAGAAAGTGATTCAGTTTCAGGGCGCCTGAGTGGCTCAGCCGATTAAGCGTCCAACTCTTGATTCTTGATTTCGGCTCAGCTCATCATTTCATGGTTTGGGAGATCGAGCCGCACATTGGCTGCACTTACAGCATGGATTCTGCTTAGGATTCTCTCCCCTCCTCCTTCTCCTCTTCTGCCTCTCCCTTGCTGTTCTCATTCTCTTTCTAAAATAAAAAAAAAATAAAAAAGAAAGTGGTCCAGTTTCATTCTTTGCATGTAGCTGTCCAGTATCTTCAACATCATTTGTTGAAGATACACTTGGTTATTTTTTTTATTTTTATTTTTATTTTTTTTTAGTTTTATTTGTTTAAGTAATCTCAACACCCCATGTGGGGCTCAAACTCACAACCCTGAGATCAAGAGTTGCGTGCTCTTCCAGCTGAAACAGCCAGGTGCCTCTCACTTGGTTAATTTTTAAGAGGTGTACGTGGCAAACATTTTTGCCTAAATTGGAGAACAGAATACGAGGCAATAAATTGTGTTTTATAGGTTATTAACATACAACATATACTACATGAATGTTTTCTTGTTTCTGAAATTCTAGGATGTGGTTGCTATTGAAACTGAAGTAAAATCAATGGACAAAAAGGTTTCAAAAATCAAAGCTATCCTCTTATCCAAAGAAATATTTGATTTTTCGCCTGAAGAACATCTTAAGCATGGGGAGGTAAGTATGCATGGATCATTATTAGAAATATTCTCTCATAATACTTATTATGTTTATGCTTTAAACATGTTTATTATTTTTTTTAAGTTTTATTCTTGAGAGAGAGAGAGAGAGAGAGAGAGAGAGAATAATGAGCATGAGTGGGAGAGGGGCAGAGCGAGAGAGGGACACAGGATTTGTGCTGTCAGCAGTGCCTGACACAGGGCTTGAACTCATGAGCCGTGGCATCATGACCCAAGCCGAAGTCGGATGCTTAACCGACGGAGCCACCCAGGTGCCCCTATTATTTATTATGTTTTAAAATATAGGGGCGCCTGGGTGGCGCAGTCAGTTAAGCATCCGACTTCAGCCAGGTCACGGTCTCGCGGTCCGTGAGTTCGAGCCCCGCGTCAGGCTCTGGGCTGATGGCTCAGAGCCTGGAGCCTGTTTCCGATTCTGTGTCTCCCTCTCTCTCTGCTCCTCCCCCGTTCATGCTCTGTCTCTCTCTGTCCCAAAAATAAATAAACGTTGAAAAAAAAAAAATTTAAAATATATAATAATGTGATCTGACTAAAAAGTACTTAATCCTGCCAGAGTAATAGCAAAATAAAGTTGAAAACTAGATATGAATGACACATATCATGTTTTAAATCATACAGTATTATCTGTATAAAAAGAACTTTTCCATTGGTTACTTTTCCCTGAATTTCTTCTGAAAACTTCAAAGTTTGGAAGTTTTACCATCAAGTCAAATCCCGGTGTTTAATAGTTCAAGGGTTTCAGCCTCGAAGTCAGGAGAACTGGGTTTTAGACCCAACTACACTGCTTACAGGCTCTGTGACTTTCAGCAATTAGTTAACATTTCTGGAATTCTCCTACTGCGCATCGGTATTGTGGCGAGGGTACTTGGATGATTACAGTGGATACAGAGCCTCTAGCATAGGACCCGGGGCATATTAAACAGCACACAGACACAGATTTCCTCTCCGCCTAGCAGTCAGCAGCGTGTGCTTGGGAATCAGGCAGGCCTGGCTTCAACTCCCAGCCCTACCTCTTATAGCCTGACCTCCCCGGGGTCTTCTAACTTCTGTGAACCCAGTTTCCTTATTGTGAAATGGCGGTTCTGATACCTACCTCCCAGGGTTGTTGTGACGGTTAAAGACAGTGATAGATAGGAAGTTCTTAGTAAAGAGAACAATCTCTTCGCATTTATAGATTATGTAAGTCCGGGTTTTTATGGAACCGATGTCAGTGAAGCGAAATATAATTATACTTTTGGGACTTAGGGAATTTGGCAGGACAATTCAATAAGCACCTTTTGAGGGCCTGCGCTGTGGGAAGCCCCATGCTACGTGCAATTGCTATGAAAGTGAGTAAGAGGCAGAAAGAGGCAGAAACTGCCCTTGCACAGCTCACTGCCTGGTGGCACAAAGCAAAGCAACAGTTCTTCAGAGAGTCAGGGAGGGAGAGCAGGAAGGCAAGGGTGGTCCAAACGCAGAACTTGGTGCTGCGGGTTTACCCTTGCCCCAGGCATTCTTTCCAGAGACCTTTCAC